TCTAATCAAGTATCAACGACTGATAACAGCGGTTACCCACACAAATTCATACACGATCAAAAACAAAATATCAAAGTATTGAATCTTCTGCTGCTGCTGCTAATATTACCGAACATTTACTGCCATTTTATTATACTTTCCCTAATAATGATACTTGTTTGGCTCGTTAGCGCTCTAGTGATCAATTGTCTCATTTCATTAACTAGTTTCCGATGGACGTTCCTTTCTCCGATGTTTTTGAATGCCGCAAGAGGAAACACCTACTCCTACTCAAACGATTAAAATTTGATAGTGTAAGTCACAATTTAAGTGGATTCGAAAAATTTCCGCGAACGTTGTAGAATGTTCTCGGCAATCTTTCGAATTACATATTAATTATGATAGTGTGCATTTAACTGTAAAAATGTTTGATGCGTGAATATTGCCGTAGGTATAGCACAACCAGTACACATACCTAATTCTAGGGTCTTTAGTTTCCCCGCTGCAGTAGCTGGCTGATAATTGTAAAAATTTTAGGAACAGTTTTGAAACTTTTTGTGTTAATCTACTCATATTTTTCATCGTTGCTATTTAGATACCAAAAAATATAAGCGTTATGACTCATTAGTCATTATCTTATTCAACTTTGAGATAGTTAGTGAGGTTAAAATATATAATATTGCAAGGTCACAAAGATTGTTTTCGAGACTCGCATGAGGAACAGACTGCTGGGGAGGTGGTGGGGGGGGGGGGGGGGTTGCACAGTCCTCGTGTTTATCACTTACAGGTGTGCTGATAGTTGGCACAGCCTACAGAGTCCAGATCCTTATTCCTTATTATGGAAACTGCAGTTAAATTATAAAGTTATGGCGACTACAGTTATGACCAGCCATGTGTTCATACTGTTTAATATTGAGTATAGGTAGGTACCTAATCAAAAATCGGTATAAATATGGTATTTACGATTACTTATATACTTCAGAAATTATGGTACAAGTTAAAATTTGGAGCTGGAAAGGAATTTTTAGGAGGTTTGTTGACATGATTCTGATTTAGTAATGACAAACGTCTCATTACCACATGCCAAAGTTTTAATTTAAACCACCCTCATGAGGTTCAGGACTGACAAAGATTATGAAGGAGCCATTCAAAGCCATTATCTATTAGAACAATTCATTTAAACATCGAATGTTTAATGTTGAACTTGATGTTGCCGCCTTCTCTCCAAACTTGATCCAGATCGCTCTCCTAATATTTATAATGTGTACTACTTTATCTGAAGCCGGCCCTTAGATACACAGACCATACCTCATTCTGCACGTTCATGCCCTGAGCTTGCGATAGTAGGGAGATATTATATATGGTATTAGGCTTGTTATTAAGATAGATAAATATTAGAACCACCAAATTTGTATAGTTACATATTTATAAGCGCCATACTTTTCTACGAAAATGTTATATTTGATTCAGCCATTTTATTCAATTCATTTCTTTTTGTTTCTCCACTTCCTGCCCAACTCATAAAGTTTAGATGATCTTGATGTGCTGATCTTTAGTTTTTTTTACTGTCGCTGTTGACAAGTAAATTAGTGAACAGACGTCGTTTTTACGCCACTATTTTATGTTTTACGTCAGAAAGTTTTGCATTTCATCACCCTCCCCTGCCCCTCATTTTAATGATGCCTTTAGTTCTCATCACCAGATTCTACTTGTTGATTTTAGACGGTATTTTATGATATTCGCCCCTGATCTCAACATAGCGGAGTGAATGCTTTTCAATCCATTCAATGCAGATTAACTCAACAGAAGGATTTCTTATGGAATGTTGATGATAAAATAGAAATCCCCTACGTTAATATCACTCAGAAATCAATTTGACGCAATTGTCAGAATGTACAATCTTTATCAGTGATCATATAATACTCTAAGGTAATATCTAAATGTGAAACGACTGGTATGCGACAGTCAGATTTGGGTTAGACCTGATTTCTAGTGATCTCAAGGAAATTATTCGAAAGAATGAAAACTTACAACTTTTCCATTTTTTTTCTAAATATGGGCACTGGAGCGACTCATATTTGGATTTAGCAGACTGCAATTCAGCATACAATGCTAGGCCGTCACTTGCTAGATTTTGTCTGAGCTTTTGTAGATTTAGATTTACCCTTGAGTCGGCCGGACTATGCATTAGTTCATTATTAGAATTCCTCACATTAACTTACATAATATATTTAATAATATCTATCAAAGTGGGTGATTAAACAACTTCAAAGGATTCTACCACTTGCTGTTCCTAGATCGCTAAAATGGTTATGTTTGTGCTAAGTGATGATGTCAGTAGATCTGTCTCTAAGCCTCTAGCTCCTAACTGCATCCTGCTTTGACACCCAATCTGCAGTCTGAGCTAGTTTCCTCCCCCAATATCATTGCCTTCTCACCGTTTAACCACACGAAAAAGGGGCGTTTCAATTGGAACTGTTGGTTGACATTTTGCCGAAATTATACTACAGTTCAGAACATTAGTATAATTCATCGTCAATGATCAAAAATGAATTATTGACTCAAAAGCCATATTTAAGCAGCGTTAAGTTTTATCTGTATGACCTAACGCTCTAATGGTGACAAAGCCATGGAGGTGCCGATATTGTTCGCATTGCTCTATATTATTGTTCAAATTATCGTAACACGTTGGAGTAGGAGTTTAATGTCAATATCACTTATCACGTTTGAGCAGCAGATAGCAGCCACACACCCCCTCACTCCTAAGCACACCTTTCTAAGCGGCAGTTTGATCTATAGTACTCCCAGCTATATATATAACACCCTGCTATACTAGAGGCATATTCAATGATGCTCCCCTTCTTTTTATCAGTCTCTTGTTCGTATAATTATAATTACAATTGCAATTGGTTCAGTCTGTGAGCTTGGTAGTTAAGCGAAACAAGCTCATTTAAGTTGTGGCCGTTAGCACGTGACCCTTGTCGGGACGTCACCTGGCTTATTCTTTTGTTGATGAACAGTCTAAAGCACTCTAAGCACTTCACGAAAGGACGATGTTGGTTTTGTTAGTTACGCTGCTACTCGTCAGCGCGGAGTCCGCGAGACAATTGAAAGGCTCGTTCAGGGATGTCAGAAAGGTTTTCAGACAATTTGAAGAGTAAGTAAAAGCTGATGTTGAAACTTTAGGTATATTTGAGTGTTTTGTGTCGCTTCAAAATCTTAAGAGTGCCTTTTCATGTCTCATGAAATTCTCATTTTTAGCTGCGCTGTACACAATGATAAATTAGCTAGCCACCACGCACATGATCATTCCCATTTACAAATAACATGAAGATTAACCACACACCACTTTCTACTGACCGAATAAAATTGGATTTTGTCCACAAAATAAAAACCTTGGAATTCTGACAAGTGCGACAACAGAATAATCAATGATGATCGTAAAATTGAATTCTTACCCCATAATATTGTCTATTTACCGCGACAGACCACACTTTTGAATACTAATTACTGGAGGATACTGACAACTGTGACTGTTTATAAACGGATGCTAATCCCAACACTGTAAATTAACTAATCGTCAAAGTTGCAGGATTTAACAAAACGATAAGAGGGATTAAAGTTTGGTTCCAATCATAATTTAATTTATACAAATAAAACACGAACTTTAGGTTTCCTGCGATAAATCGGTCATCAGTGTTAAAAATTCATTTTTAACGTCGATGACCTATTTATTTCGTGAAAGTTAAAGTTAATCAACTTAAAAATTAACTTTTAACACTGATGATCGATCTAATTCCAGAATCTTAATATAAAGTTCGCTGGACTTCGTGTTTTATTTGTATATCGGTATAGCTCGCTTTCGAGCACTGTACACTGTACAATTCTCTAAACTTAAATTGTAATTTAATACGAATTGAAAATTCTTGAAATTGTTTCCAGGCCAAATGCTTCAAACAGAAAAATCACGACCGGCAAAAAATTAGATCTCCCTTGTGACCCTTTGCGGCTTTGCTGACTACTTGTGACCAATGCATGTTAATATCAGCTAGTTAACTATTTCATTGTTATCCTTTTATTGTTACTATCATTATTATCACAATGGCCTCCACACTGACTACGTACGTTTTTAACGAGCTGTACTTGTCACAGAACAGGGATTGAAGCTTGATTCAGTGCTCTTCTGTGTAAAGTGTAAACATGCGCAATCAGCAAAAGTTGTACCAGGTACCTCCGGTACTTGGTAGCTATTTCTGGATTAGGAGGGAAAATAAGGCTTTTTTTGTTGCTTAATTATATGGTTTTTACTAGTTATTGAGGTCAATGTGACCGAAGTGCCGAATGATCTTACTCCAAAAAGCCTTGTAAATAGTACTAAAGATGAACTTAGGGATTGAACGACTGGTCAGTTTGACCTGCATTGAATGACACAGACCATGAAACTCACTGATCATTGACAAAAGAAAATTAATAAATGACCCAAATCTCTGATCCATAAACCCTGACCATAACTCACTGACTGTTACTGACCGTTACCAACCAGTGACTGATTGCTGACTAACGATATCCAACCTTTGGAGACTCAAAGTCAACACTTTGATGAGGATCATGACACGGAAGAGTGACAACAGCCTGCCCGAGAGACACCTGATAAAAAACACTGACAGCTCAATTACCGCTGAGGTAGTCCTAATTTTCCAGGATATTTACCCAACTCAAAGCAGACCATGTCATGATCTAATTATACCATCCAACAAAGGATGAATCTTGTTAACCGTACTTAACGTTGAACTCCACCAGCCGTAGTAATTGTTGGCCAAATCAAACATAATATGACCCACATAAATTGAATTATAAGTGAACTAGCCAGTACAATGTTTATAACTCTAGTGTCACCATCTGTCAACGCGAACTGGGGGCCTCTCCTGGCTACCAAGAAATTTTCAGCGAGTGAACTGTGTGCCGCGCAGCGTGTTGCGTAATTTCCTTGACTAGACGTTAAACGTTGACATCATGCTGTACAGAGGTTTATATTGCCCTCCCTCCTATTTAAGTTAGAGTAGTATCTCTGCAGTGAGTTAATGCACGCCACTTTTTATTCAGCCATGTTAGTTTTGTTTGTTCTCTGCCAGATTAACAGTCTTGGAGCTGTTCAGTATCTCAAGGATAGTTATTGGGATGTACGAAATGCCTTTAAACAGTTTGAATCGTGAGTCGCATATTGACATTTGTAGCACCAAATAATCACTAATAAACCATATACACAAAATGCTTGTTTTAAGTTTAGGATTATTAAAATAGAAAATTTATCATTTTATCACGATTTTCTACCACATTTTATCCCACGACCCCTTGATGACTTGAGAGAGATTTGTCCCTAAATACTTGAAATATGCATTTTGATAAGTATAATTTAACCGTTTTATGCTTGCTAAATACGTACATCCAGTATGAGGTAGATTTAAATAACTCGGTGATAAGCTCTCAAATCATGAAACCTTCTCTGGAGGGGTAGAAATATTTTCGGAATTTTAATGCGAAACCTTTTTCAGAGAATTTGGTCGATCGTACGAGGGCAGAGAGGCCAGAGAGAGATTAAAGAATTTCAGAAAAAACTACCTCGAAGTAATGGAACATAATAAACTAAGAGACCCTGATTATTATTTAGAAATAAATACATTCAGCGATTTGGTGAGTTTTTTGTGTTCTTATATATCGTTCATTTCTCTTACTTTTCACAAATTCAGTGCAATTTTCTGCTGCGTGAAGTGTTTTATGATTGAAGATTTATTTGAACAATTTATATCGATTAATTTAAATCATGTAAAGAACTTTGAAACCCGATCTATTCATCTTAATTTTGGTCAGATTGACATGGTCGAAAATTACCATATTAAAAATAGCTTTTTTGGCCATTCTAATTCTTGTCAGTAAATTAATGATCGCTGCAATAAGCCATATTTATATGGTGTCCACTAGCTTCATATATGATTGAATTGCTTCAGTGCTCATATCGCATTTGTTAAAACATTTGACGAAATTTGTGATACAATATTGTGGCAGTGAAACTGCAGAACTGAATCGCTCTAAGATTCATGGTACATGTTGGTCCGTACCGGCACGTGCCATCTTATTGTACTCCTGTGATAGTGACAAGTTAGGGCTTATCACACATTATTAAGAGCAATTTCACGTCAGGCTTTTCTCAATAGGGTGGACATGTCCTAAAGACTGGGTTTGAGTAAAAATTGGTTTGAGTACAAATTAAATTATAATCAACCGGATCCTTCGTTTATGTTTGAATTGACTAATTGGCTTATCGTGGAATATAACTTAAATTCTAGGTTTCTCCTTATTATTATTTTATCTTTGCACCATTTTATTATCAAACCAGCAGAATATCTTGCAAAATTCTTGCAAAGTCTTTTTCTGTCAACACCATAATTAAGAACGTAAATGGGCACAAATCGCTTAGGATTCAAAGAATGAGGCAATCTCTTTCGTCAAAACATCAACAAATGCAACACTTCATCAGCCTAAATCATACAACCTGATGCACTTCAATAATTCATAGAACATAATTTAATAAGTAATCGGCCAGGCTATTTGCATAGGTTAACCTGTAAAACTGGACCTCTTGACGTCACACTCAGAACATTATCCAATATGCATGTGTTGAATATAATTATAGAAGCTATTGTAAGGACTTCCAGAATTAGAAGGAAGCGCTCTACATACTTTTACAATTTATAGTACTTCAGTAGGCAGGCAGCAGACTCTTTACTAAAGCCGGAGTAACCCCTTCACACAAGCAAACCCCGCGGTAATACCCAGTACTTGTTGTGAGAAACTATCGGTAATATTCATTTATAGATCTCAACCCTGGTCCTTTTTCTGGCAGTTGGTATCCTAAGATTGGTCTCATAACATGTTCCCACCCTACATATTCCCCTGCCAAGGTGGTAATGTATTTTGCATATTAGTAGTACGGGACAAGTTGTCTGGTGGTTGTCTCTGAAGTTCTGTTAAAGAAGGTTAAATAAATGATTATCGTCAGTAGCCTGCCAGCCTTACAGGAAAACCGTCCACCTTAATGTCGTCATTAAGCCGAGAACCACAGGAAAAATAAATTACCGTAAATGATTAGATGAGTATAGCCATGAAAATGTTGACATCATTTACCGAGAAATGAGGATGATGTAAGTACATGACAATTCATGTCCACTTTACAGGTACCAGTCATGTTCCTCCGGTGACCACTTGACTAGTCACTACGTAGCTCACCGTAATTAGGATAGCCACTAATCTTTAATCAGTACGTGTATCTGAGTATCTCGTATCTCGGGTAACAGGAAGCCAGATACCTAGATACGGATGACGTGATGCTTACTAACGCCAAACATCTTCTCAGAACGAGGACGAGAAAAATAGTTACCTCGGTTTGGCAAACTTCACAGAGATAGTATCGGAGCTGACAGAAGAAGATCATGCAGTTATCAAGAAGAGATCAACAGAACCCTTAGAGGTTTGGCATTGTAAATTTATGATAACATCCCTAACTTGTGATTACATCTGCATGCAGTCTAGGTTCTCTGTAAGGTCGTTGTTTTAATAATAGTATCGCAAAGAAATTCCTACTATTACCGTAATGATACTAAAATAATTGGGATGACAATTAACTATAAGGTTTCTCTCTGAGCATACCTGGATACCTTGTTAAATGCCGTTCAGCTCTTCTTATTTATACTATTACTATTACTTACTGGTGCTAATCTGCTTAAGATGACTGATGATTAGAAATTAACACGGATGACGGACTACATACTCATACTGTACCTTTCTGACGGCTATTTAACTCAACACTGCTGTCCGTACACCTGTCCCACAATTGACCGGAATTATACACTTATAATTCCAGAATTATACACTTATAACTCATATAATTACTATATTATATATTGTATAACTCCTATAATTACGAAATATATTTACAGGTAGATCACAGAGCAGATGGTCTTGTAACGCCAGTAAAGAATCAGCTAAATTGTGGCTCGTGTTGGGCATTTTCTGGGGTAAGTGCAAATTACTTTTTATTTTACTTATCACAATTGTTAAATAGAATTGGATTGGAGAAATTAAATAGTGCGAATTGTTCGATTCTATGATGTTTGTCGACTGTACGTGATTTTAGTAAACAGTGAGATTATTTTGGTGGTCTGGCGCAATGCCAGACATCGTGTAGTCTTGTACACTAGATGAATCCCTAATGAAACAAGTCTTTAGTTGCAGTATATGCTAAATTATCCAAGCGTGAGCGTCAATTGAGTATTAGATTTGGACCATGGTAAATGGATCAAAATGCCATTAAATTTGAGTGACCTTCCAAAAGGATGGGCAAATTTCCCAGAAAATGAAAAAATTCAAAGTAGGTGAAATTTATTAAATAATCATGTGACTTACATCTTCATTTCAAGTCAAAACAACACAGTGACACGAGTAAAAACTGATCTCCAGCAAACATGTAACAATCTTAGGGTAAACTGACTCACTGCAAGTTCAATTTGTATGTCAATCGTTTATAATTGGGATGGTTAATAAGTAAATAGGGCGACAGTGCAGCAACTCTTGAGCAAGCTTAATGACATAAAATGGCACATGTGTAGGTATTTTATCTCTTTTCAAAGGCGGTGCCTTGCGTTTGGAAATACGGGCGACATACCAGCAAGACACGACTAGTCATTGTAAATATGAAGTACTGTCTTGTCCTCCTCCTGTTAGATTAAGACGGCAGTCTTGATGTAATTCAGATCTTTGGCGGGTGAAAATTTCTTTTATTAAGAAACAATACGCCCAAAGATCAGGAGTTGAAAACTCAAAGGAAAAAAGCTTTTGGATGACCATAAAGCTTTGATAAAAATCTTTTGTTAGGGAACAATTGTATATATTTTGAGAATGTTGGCGACTAAATAAAAAGAAACACTGCAACTTCCAAACGGCTGAAGTCTGAAAGTATTGCAACACACGTGCACGTATAAGTTATATAAATAATATTGTCAACGTAATACAACTAAAGATGTGCTGTTTATGTAATTTAATACACGACTACTCAAATAAAAAGTAGCTGCACTAAACGCTCAAAAAACTCACTTGACCCACAAATTCGTGGATCATCTTCAAAATAACAATGCAATTATATTTGTTTACATATTAACATGCCGTTTTCTCAGATTGGAGCAATAGAGGGTGCGTATAAACAAACAACTGGATACCTTAAATCCTTCTCAGAGCAGGTAAATCTCATCTTTCAGTGACCTAAAAACTAAAAAAGATAGAAATGTTCAGTTTAACAAACTGATTCTAAAGGGAAATGTTTGTACATAACAACAAGCTGGTCGACGTATTGGATTCTAGAATGATCTTACTTGCAATAACCGAATTGTACCATTAAAACAATGCTCCCTCCCCCCAGGAACTAGTTGATTGTTACTACAAGGATACGAGCACAAGAAACGCCTGTAGTGGCGGTACCCAACGTAATGGTTTTATCTACGCCAAGTACAAGAAACGACTGGCCACGTACAACGACTACAGATACACTGGCGTCGGTGAGTACATTTCCTGGTTAATATTACCAAACACGCTGCTCACTTGCTCAGTGAAATTGTTAAAGGATACTTTTGAGTTTTGGCTTAAAAGGTGTTCTGCAATATATTTTGTAGTATTATCATATTGTCCCTTTTGTCAGCGTGCCAATTTTGTCACTATGCCAAATTTTTCTTTTCCATAATATTGATCGTTGATATAAGCGGGATATAACTGCGATATTTCATATCTACGATGTATCATACTTATCTTCCCTGTACCTTCAGATGGGACTTGTGATAAGGAGAACCTCCCCGAGAACGCTATTAAAAACGCCAGAGTTACCGGGTACAAATGGATACTGACCAACAGTGACAGTGAAGTGCAGACAGCTGCCTCTAGCCGGATTCTCTCCGTGGCAGTGCACGCTTCTTCCATGTTCGCTTATCGGAGCGGTATCTTTACAGGGTGCCCTGACAGTACCAAGAGTGCTGTGGTGAATCACGCTATGATTATCACTGGATATACTCCTAAGGCATGGATTCTCAAGAATAGGTGAGTGAAGACTTTTGGCAAGTTTTTGTTGTTACTTACCATGAACTTGTTGTTTCCTCAACTAGGGTACTGTATGATCAGAAGGTGCATGGAGCAGTAATTAAAACTTTCTAGACCTCTTTCTCTTTGTTGGGTTGTACTTGGCCGATGTAGTGTTGTGACACTTGTCGTTTCCTCAACTATTCGTCTTTACAGTAAATGCCTGAGAATTTATCACTACAATTGTTCATGCCGCAGTGTGGTGGTGTCAACTTGTCTTTGTCACCAGAGCATAGTGCAAGAAAAACTTCTATGTAACAAATTCGCTTAGAAATGTGAATCTCCCTGAATCGCAGCCTAATCAAGTGAACTTTCAGTTGGGGAGTTAGCTGGGGAGAGAACGGTTACATAAGAATAGGACGAGACTATTCACTGAGTGACTGTAGAGTGACTAAATGGGTCGTGTACCCTATAATGAAGTACCAAGACATGGGCCAGGACGACAAGGACGATATCCACGCAGAACAAGATGACGGTAAGTTTAACTACTTCGTCCATTTGATCGAGTTTTTACTTAAATGCAAGCCGGATGGTTCGAGATTGCACAATCATTGGTCTTGGGTGTCGGCTCTTTAAGTTTACTGCAGTATAGAAAATATCCACATGTAATACGTTATACGTATAGTAAACATGTAGATATAGCATATTAGTTTATTAAAACTTTTCATCATATTAACGACTGAAGCGATTTTAGACAAGTCCCTTAAAGCAACGAGCATTGAAGTAAATGCTTAAAGTTAAACGTGCTGGTTTTAATCTCAAACCAGTATTAATTTCTCCAGCAAGACTGAAAATTTCTTTCATTTCAGAGGACGTTGCAGTAACGGGAATTGCTGAACAGCGGACAACTTTCGACTCTTTAGGAGCAGCCTCTAATGCTATTGATGGGGTATTAAACGGAAACTACAGTAGTGGAACATGTAGCAAATCTCAGTAAGTGTTGTATAATAATAAACACAATTTCTTGAACATTTTGGCTTTGGGCCTACATCGTATGATTTTCTTTTAACGTTAAAATTTAAACAGCAAGAGCAACCGAGCTACGGCCAACTCAACTTTAAAAATCAAAGCAATCCTGAGTTGGATTATGCATAGACTTTAAGGATCAAAATTAAGCCAAAAATCGTTTCAAATTGAAGATGCCAGACTACACAATATGGTATGACGTACGGAAATAGACTAGTAACTATATACAGTTAAACTATGAGAATAAAGGGCCCAGTACACAGGCTTGTACGGTCCCTTATAAAGCCAACAGAGGTGTAAATAAAGTTCATATTCCTCATCACAAACAATAAACTTAATAAAATTTACTAATGCTCAGCCTCTAACAAAAGTTTCACGGCAACTGTGCGTTGCTAACCATGTGTTCGAACAAAGGGAATTTGAAAATGGTTTTAAATCTCACATGCGGTCAGAAAATATAATGATAAATTAACTCTATTGATCCTTTTGATCACTGATAAATATAGGGAGGCGAGCCAAATTGATCCTATAGAATTGTGAAAATTCAGGTGCCATGTGGTCATCAAACTATTCTTCAACATTCTACACCACATGCTCTCTTTTCATGATCCGAGCTTACACCTGTTACACGTGCTAACTGTTTAATGACGTTACTAGTACACATCATACAATTAAAAACAATGGAACATATCATAATTACTCTATAATAACCGGACTTCCTATTACAGAGAAGACTACATCAACTGGTGGACGGTCAAGTTTAACGTAACCCACACCGTGCAAACAGTTAAAATACACCTGCAACGGGACGACGATGCGAGTCTGGGAGATATTGACGGCGCGACGCTCCACGTGGGCAACAGGTAAACTATTACGACTTATCTCGACCAAGCACGTGGGCATATTTAGAGAAATCTAGAATTTTCCAGAAGAATGATGTTGCACTTGCAGCCACCGTGTAATAGATTGCGCAACGTAGTAATAATAACCACGTTGCTAGGTGATCTGTACTTGAATTTACAGATAGAAAACCATGAAATGGCTTGATTTTCAATTAGAATTTACTGGCATCTGTAAACATATAAGGGATATCAATAAGGATACAATTGGTACTGGAACTTCATCCTTCGCCTCAAATATAATACGACAATGAAGTTGAGGATCCAGTGGTGCCTTTGTAGTCTATTCTATTCGCTGCCAATAAAGCTCATTGTTCCAAGACAAAGGGAAAATGTACTCCCTGAAAAGGCGCATCCCGTGACTCGCAATTAAACCTAAACAGTTGAGCCTGGTCGAGTAAAAATCTGAAATATTCTTAATCGCATTCCGTGGGATTAATGAAAAGAACCCTCGCAGTTCAAACCTGGTCTCATTTCTCAGAAAACAGCCGCGTACGCTGCAAAAATCACAACAATATTCTAATAGAGGCATGATCTGGAGACTCGAGCATTGCACAAAATTGGCCAGTGTACAGAAACAGCTTTACTCTCACCGGCAATGAGTTGTACTATATGTATGGCAAAGATAAATTATAAGATTACACTACGCAAAACAAAATACAAATGCTTGAGTAAGTGATTAGGTGATGACCAGGGGGCGCTCCGTATAATAACGTTATAACGACCAGGCTGGCGTTCATTACTGGGTACTGTATGATCAGAAGGTGCAAGGAGCAGTAATTAAAACTTTCTAGATCTCTTTCTCTTTGTTGGGTTGTACTTGGCCGGTGTAGTGTTGTGTACACTGTACAGAACGTCATGTAACAGGGTTGTTTGCGCTGTATAGTAATCTAGTCTCGTTTAAACCTATTCAGCCTTCTACCGAACTTATCCATCGTTTTCAAAAGGAGTTATATTTTTTGTTCGTTGCATTTGTGTGTTGAATTATGGGGTGAACAAACTCGGTACACTCGAAATATTAAATTCATGGCCTCGCTAATCTAGCTTCACTTCGATCAAAGATGTCACCCAATCTTAAATTGTCCAATCTCAGATTGCTTCGAGTTTCATCGAATCTTCCGGACATTATAACATTAATATCTCTACTATTATAAATGACTATCTATCTGAGTATCTTATCACATTGCCCTGTATCACATTTTGTTGCAGACTACTAAATAAAAACTTCTTCACAATCAGCTAATTACAACCCACATCAGGGGTGACTACCTGGATCCAGTATGTGGCAACGGAATAGACTCCTCCATGCACGTGGACCACGTGATAACACTGGACTGTAAGAACCTAGTGGGACGTTATCTCACGGTGGATTGGTACTTTGCAAATCATCCTGATAGAGAGAGGCGCTCGTTGACGCTCTGCGAAGTGGAAATCTTCGCTCACGGTAATTATCTTTGTGACGACATTATTAGTCAAGCTTTATGATGTAATCAGGGGAACAGCTGTTTGGGGTGGCCAGTGTGGTGAAATTGTGCATTGTGTGGCTGTCAGGGGAATAGTTGATAGTAAATGTTATCATGGGGTTTCAAAAGGTGGGTGCGCCGTGAAATTGATTATTTTCCGGTTTCAAGGTTTAATATACTGGTAGTAATTCCAAAATTCCCACGTTTTACCAAGCTTTAGGACCATTTGAGGGACGGCAAAATTTAAAATTTAGTTCCGAAACATGAAATCTTAGGCGCCAAAAGGTCCAGAATAGGCCGGCTCAAGGTATTACAGCACTTGTCAACATGTGGAAACGGAATAGAATGTTTTTAATAGTGTGGAGTAGGGGAGGAAAAAGGCGGCATGCAGACTCGGACCCTTGGAGCGGTTCAAAGTTACACCACTCACAAGTTAGCGGCCGTGACGTCAAACCCCCATGTTTATACGGCATAATAATAAGTAGTTGGAATGTGGGTAGTATAACAATACTGAGAAGTATTTGGTAACTGTAGGCTCCTCTCTTTGGGGATTATGTTGAGATCAGGTGATGAGTCTCCTTCTTTTGATAACTAGGAGGAAACCTTGTGTTAATTGGGTTGGTATGGAACCGTCAGTCTTAGAATGAATGCGGAGTGAATAGGTCCGGAATGTTAATGAGGAGAAAGCAGCACCGTAAAGTTATAAAGAATTAGACGGTTGTTTGTTGTTGAATTCTGTAGAAAAGTCAACGGCATGTGACGGTAAAGGCGGTAGAGCTTGCAACAGGTTGGTTGCGCTTTTGTTAGAGTAATTAAGTGAAGGGCAGTGCTGGATGACTAGGAGGCAGGGAATACAGAATTTATTTACTTCAGAGGTTTGGGAACTTGTAGGTATAACAGTATAACGTTTCATTATCATTAAAACAATAATATTTTCAGATAACGATAGTGGGTGTCCCGGAGGTAATGTCAGATGTACAGATGGACTATGTAAGCCTCCGAGCTTCTGTTAGATTAGTTAGTTTGATTGATCAAAAAACTGTATTTAATTAATTTTAATTTAGTCTGTTTATTTGACTAGGATAGTTTTAGATGTATAATTAGTTCAGAATTTTGAGTTTATTGTAGGATTTCATGAAAAAGTAGGTGCTGCGCACTTTTTCAGACAGTTTTCAGTTTTATTTGATTACACTGAATTGAAAAATAGTTTGTAAAAGACTCAATAACTTATTTCCTTTGTATTTACACTATAATACAATTCAAAATTATAAAAATAGGGAAAATAATTTAACTCATAAAATCTGATCACAATGTTTACAAGAATTACAAAGTTCATTCCTCAATTATTTGAAATTTCAGATCAGTTATTAAGGATTCCTTGGAACTCAATCCTCAGTAAATACTTGACTATTTCGATAAGTAGTCTAATAAATCCTATAAATCATTACATACAAATTCTTAAATTTTGTAAGGCTTTGGATCAAGAAACTGACAATAAGAAAACACTGTTAGACTTATGGATGTCCAGATTAAATTTACTTTTTCCTTTATTTACATTATTGCATCTTTAGAAAATTCAAGTAAAACTGATACATTTTTGTGGAACACACAGGGTCAAAGTATAATATCACATGAGATTGGGAATAGCGATATTAGTTGTTCTCTCATCACATATTTCCTCCTCAAAGTTTGATAATTGTTTCATGTATCCCAAGGTCGGTCTGATGTAGCTTTTGTTTTGACTCAGGATCCTCCAGGATTTCTGAAGAATTATAAGAGTACTCAGTTGAATTATTTGATTCAATCTTGAGTCGAATCAGTTTCGAATTTTTAACATAACTTGGCATAGAAGAATTTAAAAAGTGTTTAATAACTGAAAGTTTAATATCTTGTGGCACGGTAACCATCCAGTCGTTTACCTCAAGCGTCCACTTGTTTCGCTTCATCAAATACGCCAGAACCAGGACGACGCTCCTGCTCAAACTATCTGAACTGCAATAATGTAATTTACATAAAACCAGACAATCCTGAATCAGTATCCTTAGAATCTTACTACAATTCTAGACAAGAAATTAAACCAGTCTAGGAGAAGCCGTCTATAAGAATAATTCAACAACCGAATACGGGATACTTGTTGAAAATCAAGATAGTAAATTCACCATGCATAATGCATATATGCACCTGACGACGAGTATGGGAATCTTCTTGGCTCTGTATTTCTCGATAAGTTGGGATATTTCTCTGAGATGTGGGGCTATGTCCGCCGTGTCGTTCAGGACAACTTCCTTAACCTCTACTCCCTCTGCCATGCTGAAAATGGAAAGCGAACATGACTATCTAGTGAGATTGTGGCATGAATTGTCTAGTGAAGAGGGCAAGCCCAGCTGTCTGGCGAAGATTTATCTAAGATACGGTCTGTCGCCACGTGCTGTGGTGTACCTGACTGGTACTTCAGGAGAGGCGTTGACAAGACACTTGACCGCCAGACGCTTCATCAGCTCCGAGTCGTTGGCTTGAGCTGCTGTGCCCATATATACTGTGCCTGGTACCACTTCCAGGGGGAGGAGATTGAGGTTCTGTAATTCCTGGAATAGAAGGAAATCTGTTAAAATCAGCTGATCTGAACCGAGCAAAACCAGTTCGACTGTTAAACTGTACTATTTTTGAACATCATTGCAATTTGCAGATATTTTTCCTTATTATCCATTACTTACCCTCGGACTGAAGATTATTTGAAAGGTTTTCAAGAGAGGATAAAGCGCAGAGAATTTCTCGTATCCACCACTTAGTATCATGATAGGCTTCTTGCATGTGAGTTCTGACAACATTTTGGCACAGCAATACACGTCACCTGATAAGTGAGGACTTCTTTCAGTCTGATAAAACCATATCACAACATTACTGCTCATAATTGGCTCACTGCCAACCACGCAATAAGTCTACCACAACTGACAACGTACGCAATATAGGTAAAACATTAACATATATGGTATATCAGAAGCAGTCGGAGCAGAGGGAGGGAAGTTTGAATAGTGGGAGGCCATTAGGTCAGGGCGTGCTTACTTTCTTTGTCAGCAAGAGACTCGGTGCAGCTGTCGTAGACTACACAGTGATGTTTGGTCTCCACTTCTGCGTCAGCGGGAATCTGGAAATCTCCCCCAGCACTGTCCCGTATAGAGTGACGGCCGGTCACTATGTGGGACTCTTCATAGGCACAGTACTCTCGCACATCTGTAATTATTATACCGATTAGTAATTGGTATGTGGTCTGTATGTGCAGGGAGTAATTCTGTCTTCTGAGTAGCAGTAATTTTGTGTTTAAATATTTCATATTTGCTCACTTTTTACAATTACAACATCAAGTCCTACAACTGTTAAATCAAGTAGGCAAGTGCACTCTCAGTAAACGGCATATTGAATAAATAGTAAGCGTTTGCCTTTATAGCAAAGTGACTACGTCTTTACTTCCCCCCTCGAATTTAGGGATCGTTCACAGATTCGGTATTCACTTTTTGGCCAATTTTAAACTCCCCCTTCCCTCTCCGTAATCAATTTTAAACATATGACGTAGAAGTATTGTATTCAAATTACACTAGGGTAATCACAAATCATTTAGAAACCTCCTCCCTCCCCCTCAGTGATAATTAATACGTGACATGTGAACGACCCCTTATATTTGATAATGATAGGCACAAGGTAGCGCACAAACAACAAACAAGCGCTGGATTGATGGATAATACCACTGGGTTCGCTAAAAACCAATTTATCAGATAAGTAATTAGTAATATGGATCGAAAAAATACCGTCCGTCAACGAAATGAGGCTCCGATAGGATAAGACGATAAGTCAAAACAGAAAACTGTTTCATCAAGCATGCAATATCACCGGAGAGTTTATTAAATGTAGGAATTAGTAATGTAAAAGAGGCTTTGATAGGATAAGTCTAAACTGTTTCATCAATATCAGCAGAGAGTTTGCAATAATAATACAGGAATTTTGAATGCAAAATACCGAAAGATCATTTAAAAACGTGATTTCATCCAGTTCATAATTTTTGAAGAGAATTTTCACTAAGTTAAGTAAGTTGCTACTTATGCGGGCAAAGGAACGAATTCAATTTAAAATGATATATTCCTTTTAAAACCTACCTAAGAGTAAGAGGTAGGTCCTGTCGGATACAGAGGGGAGCCCCCTCAAATCTGTCTGATTGAGAATGTTATAAAGCTCTGTGGGCTCACAAAGCTGGATGTTTGTCATGGTACCCTTTTGAAGAAAACTTATTAGTTGATTGAGTTATCTTTCAATCACAAATCGAAAGCTGGCCACGTTGTTGCATGACAACTTAACTTATCAAATTTTAGAGGTGTCGATCGTGGTCGTCATGGCAACAATTCAACGCGTTATCTATGCGCGCAAACATAAACAAAACTCAGTCCGCGCCAGGAAAATTTATTTAGAGTAGACCCTATTGTTTCGATATAAAAGAAAACGTTCAATAAAACGAAGCTAATAACTGGAAAATCATCATTTAACCGGAATATCTTATTGTCACCAGGACCGATACTTGAAATTATAACTTAATGCAATTATAGTGATAAATCTGACTTTGGAAAGCGATACTTTTATAGGTCCATAATAATTGGCCATATAAGACCATGACTAGAATTTGTCATACTGTAATCGATAGATCAGCATATATTCGAACATTTTGATGGAGCATAACCTGAACCGAAAAACTGCGATTGAAATCGCCTTTAATTACAAAAGGTCTGATACAAATATACACAGTATTCTATACAAACAATAACAGTTCTATCTGTCCACTCGACTCAAAGCAATTGACGTGTGAGACGCCAACTAACTCTCAGCCTCCTTCTCCTCAGCAGGGGTCTCGTACTCCTGAAGTTTGGCTTTGAGTACCTCATTCTCTGAAACTACTGCCTCGTGCTTCGTTCTCAGCTCTTGCAGTTCGAGTCTCAAGGTTTCCACATCATTGCTCTCTGGTGATCCTCCATGGAGGTGCTGCTTCAGGAAGTCCAGAGCGTTGATGGGTTTCTCCGGCTCTTCATACAGACAAACCAAAATTTTGGTGAGGGAATCTAAAACTCCCTCTTTTTCGAGGTACTTTCGGAATTCCTCCCTTTTGGACTCAGATGTTTTGTAGGTGGCAGACATGGTAACTAAAAGGAGATTGTAATATCAAACCAGTGTAAATCATACTTTTTTAGCGGAAGAACAATCACAACATCTTTGAAGCGAACAAATAGAACAAATGCTAACAAGTATTTAGTAATACGATCTCAAAAGATGAACCCAGAATTACAGATTGAAACAAATGCACAATTGTGAGAAATGAATGTATACTGTACATATTAACAATGTTTCGTTACAATCGCAAATTCTGATCCCTAAGAATACCCACTCTCTGGTTCCTAAAATACAAAAAACACAACATATAAAAGTCTGCAAAGATGCAAAAAAGTAAAATCTTCCATCATAAATAGTAGGCACTTCCTCTATCAATCTGCATCATAGTCTATTTCTTCCTCTTCCTCAGCTGCGGCAGCTGCAGCTGCAGCAGCCGCCTCTTCCTCAGCTTTCTTCAGGGCCTCTTCCTCTGCTTTTCGTTTTGCTTCTTCTTTAGCTTTGATGTCGGCAGCTTTTTTGTCAGCCTGAAGTATCATGTCGATCAGGCTAATCACAAAATACGTGTTATATCCATTTTCAAACATTCGCGAACAACCCGCAACAAGAGGTGATAAGATACAAACTTCTTTATACCTCTTCTTTAGCTTTTCTTTCACCTTCTTTCTCGTCAAGCAGTTTTTTCAGCTGAGGAGTTTCTAGGATGGTCCAGAGCGTTTGTTCAACACAGTTAAGGGCCTTTTCTATGTCGTCACATTCACCCAATGCTACCTGATTGAAAAAGCTATAGTCAGCATCTAAAGAAGTCACTTTACAACTATAGTTAAAAACTGTTGCAAAGAAATAAATCCTCGAGCAACGAAACACATGAAGCAGTACATAATAACACCCTGACAATTCGAGTACAAATCACAACTTACATATTATATACAATATCTAGTAAGCAATGATTGCAGAATCGGCGAATCGCAGATAAACAACAAGCAATAATTACAAGAAAGTAAAATGCACAACCTTCTTCTCTGCACGTAGCTGCTCATTCTGCAGATCAATAATCTCCCTCAGTTTCTCAGGAATACTATCAACCTCTTTCACAGTGACCACACCGTCAGAAACTGAAACCGGGAATCCAAACACACAGCCTGGTTTTGTGCCGTACTGGCCGGTGGAGAGACAGCCCATGGTTGTACTCTCGCTTCCTTTCACCAAACTTTCAATGTGTCGGTAGATTGCCAGAGCGGAGGACATATTTGCGTTGCGTCCTGTCATTTCACTGAAACAGCAGAGGGTCACAATATGATGTGATGAACATTTTGGAAAAATCAAACAAAACAAAATGAGCACAGTCTTAGACTGTGACAGTTTATCAACCGTGGAATGATTCGATACCGTTTCGATCAAGTGCTCGAATTAATTGTAAACTCACCAAATCTTTTTGTCTCTATCATCTCTACTCTGCACGTTGGCAAACTCCCAAGTTTCTTCATTGACCGCCTCCATAACGGTTTTATTGTAACTTCCTGGACCGGTTATGGCTCCCTCGTGGTTGCGAACTGTGCCAATAGCTGTACTAGCAACGTGGTGGACTGGTACGTTTCCCCATACAGTTATACCCGAGATATCGCTTGGCATGACCTGTTTAGAATTTCAGATTAGTGGAAAATACAATTTTTTTAATCGCGTATTGTATAATGAATTTCAGTCCGAATCGGCTTCATTCTTCGCTATTTTAGTCAAGTCTCAAAGGAAGGGCGTTGTTTATTAAAAGTTAATTAAAATTAATCTGCTAATTACCATAAGTTTCTTAGCTAGTTTAGCTCGCATTCTCTGCTCGTCTAGTGTCACTACAACACTAATATTGTCTGATGTTACTCCGTGGTGTCTTAGCAACATTCCTCCTAAACATGCCTTGTAGCCGTTTATCACTATCTGGGAAAAACAATGATCGGTCAATTAAAAACATTTAAAATAGATGGACCATAGAACTTCATTATATCATGACGAATGACGATAGTTCTGGTTTTCTTGGTTGTCAAAAAATCAAATCATCTGAAATATTAACTCTTGATATAACCCCAAAGTGAAGCGGAGGCTGAAAATGTACAAAATAAGTGACATACATTATGGCCTAATTAGTAACCTGATATTTAACGCATTTAAAGATAACCATAAAGATAATCATTCTTTGAAAAAAAAAAACACGAAATTCGGAAATATGAAGACGTGATTTCCAGTTTATCACAGACAAAAAAAACTCACTTTAGCTTCAGGTTTGACAATGCCTTTGATGGCAGTAGCGATGTCCTTGTACAGCAAGCTGCTAGTCTTGAGAAGTTGGAATCTGTCTGGATGGGAATTGTTATCGAGAGGGTCCAGAATGAGAAGATAATCTGCTTTAGATGCAGCGTTCTTCATACAGTGAGTTACTGTCACTGAGTGAAGTTCTCCATACGAACAATCATCGAGTTCCATTTTTATTCCTGAGAGTGGTGAACTTTAAAAGTATTTAAATCATAGTTTGTTAAAGCAATTTTTATTCGAATGTGATCATAACTCCAAGTTTAGCAGTACTTTAATTGTCACCCACATTTAATATTTTTACCACAGCACACGAACAAGGCTGATAATGATAACATGAACAAACCATCGAGTTCTTGAGCATGATCAGCTACATCTTGGAGTATTATAGCCAAATTTTGATCCTTAAAACAAGAATCAAAGAGAAGAGGAAGCAGCTGATAAGCGATGGGCTGTGCAGCGCCGATAACACTAATGTGGACCGGTGTTACTGGTGTTTTTATTGAAGCTGCCTTATCTCTCTCGTAGCCAGTTTTGTTTTCAGATGATATATCTTTTACACTACCATCATCTGAAGACAGAGTTATTTTAGTAACGAGTTACAGTAAACAATTAAATCTGTGACATCATGTGATCACGAGCGAACTCCATCTCAGCGTATTAATGTAAAGCTAAACAAATCTGAATATCTGAACTGAATTTTACAGATTTATAAATAATAAGACAGGTGTACAGTGTACACTATACAATAATATTTTCAAACACTATAACTTTATAAGTATTTACTAATAATACTGAAAGCTGAAAATTAGTAGATAAGTAATACACACTACTATAACATAGTATTTAAAGCTTATTGTGACTACAAAATGTACTCAAATATTAAATAAAGAACAAAAGTTCTATCATTCGTACCTAGCCCGTCACTGTAACTGTACCAGTGGTCAGCCATCTTCTTAAAATCATCCCACCCTCCGAGGTAGGTTCCAGCCCCACCTCTGTCAACTAGCTCTCTCCAAACAAGAGGGGAGGAACTGTGTTTCCAGCCATGCTGGGAGCAGGTATTCTTCAACCATTCTTTCCATTCTCCATCCGACAATACTATCTTGTGTACCTTGATAACACGTCAGATTTGATTTCTATATCTCAGCTTTCTATTCGATTTTGTAAGATTGAGAAGCAACGATAAATAAGATTGATTAACGGATAAGTATACTTTGGGAAAAAATAGCTTACTTTAAAATCTGGTAGGTTAATTGACAAGTCGTCTGCTAAAATCTCAGCTCTAGCATACTTTGGACATCCTGCGGTCCCTGCTAGGACATATTGAGCCATTACTACACATTAGCTGAGCATTAAATGTGAGTTACAAACCAACTAGCCGGCGGCTTTTGGTAATCAACATAGAAAATCATAATGCTTTATAACCGCAATGTTTTATAATTTTGTTTTTTTTTATAACGATGCAATGTAATAACAACTGTTAATCAAATTACTGGTTTGGAAACTAATTATACACGGAGTTGAAAGTCTAAAATACAAAAATCTGTTTTATACAATCTCTTCGAAATGAAATTTAAACATAAACATAAAGAAATAATTATAGCGAAATTTGACACATGTTTTTAACTAATAACTTAAAGATAAATTGAGATTCTTACAATGATGCCTAATAGGCATCAAATTATTCATTGAATAAAATCTGAGACAAAGCGAACTTTGAAAGAAAATACATAGATGTATTTCACTTTCCAGTATAAAACTGAAAAGTATAAAATCTAGGGTTGGTTTTTTATCACCCTTTGAAGTTTGATAGGAATCGAGGAAGGTACCATAATTTCATATAGTTAATATCAGGCTTCTACAACAGCTCTAATACATCAGCCACTAACGATACCACAACGTTAATCCCTAAATTGATCACGTGAACTTTACAATCCATCGCACACATTTTTACAGAAAAAATTCCTACCACAAAGACTGAATTACACAAAATCTTTCACAGATAAAGGGCCAGAGGACTTTTCGATGAGAGAAGGTGTCACCATTGCTGCGCATAATTTACAGAGGAAAACCTGAAAAAGAGATAGGTTTACCTTTGTGGACTTTTTTTGGTAGTATACTATATATTTCAGAGTTAATAAGTTAATGATTATCAAAACCACAAAAATACAAATCAATTGTAGTGTTCAATGAACTGACCTCTTTTGGCACTTTTTCTGGTTTTCTTCCTCAATGAGTTTCAGGTAGTCAGCCTCAGGAACACACTTAAATACTGGAGCTTGTGCCTCTTTCACAGTAATACCACTGTTAATCTTGCTTTTCTTTTCAGTCTTCCGCTCTAAAGATCGTGTCTTCCTAAGAGCTTCATCATGGTACGCCGATGACATAGCTACAAGTGAATTTAACATAGAACCTGCTGGATTATTTCAATGCCCTGAACATCAAAATTTCTCCAGGTAATTTATATAATATAGATCCACTATTGAAGCAAGATGCTAACTTATATAACGTGTACAGTTAGAGTGAAACAAAATCTTAGTAAGTTGGATCTTCAATACATCAAATCTAACTTATAATACACAATTCCAGCTTGCATAAGAGTCAGTTTGAACTAGATCAGTTCTAAAATAATGCTTCAAATCACAACATTTAACTTAAGACTATCAATATGCACAATGTTTGTTAAGAAAATCAAATTTAAATGCTTGTGTTGGCAATATTGATTAGATTTAATCGTAATGACTGATTGAGAGTCAAAGTCATTATGTCATATTTAACAATTATTGAGATTTGAGAAACACACACAGTTTAAATGTTGATACTTGATAACGTGTTCATGATGAATATTCCATCTTGTAAACGCTTTTAAGCTGGCACACATTTTCAGGGTTCCAATCAGTTGAAAGAAGGTCCATGATTTCAGAAAGACTGTTCTTTTCTTTTTCAGACAGAAACTGGAGAGACAATTCAAATCGTCCACACTTTGTCAAAGTATACAGAATATTAGCGATAGTTTCAGATTTTTCTGATTGGTAGTTTTCATGAATAGCAGATATGAATTCGCCAAGAAGACCCAGTGCAATTTCGGCTTGGAATATATGATGAATCTTATTGCAATCAAGTTCTGTGAGAAAATTAAACCGCTCTAGTGAATTCTTACATTGTCTTTTCCATATTCTATCAAATTGATTGACAGTAGCAACTGACTGATAAGATATCTCAGTTGAACGTTCTGAACTTGTTTGAGAACTAGCCCCTGATCCAGAGTTAATATTCCATGGCTGTTTGAACACTTTTATGTCACTTATTCTGTCACCTTTTTCGAGAGGTTTAAGGTGACTGGCTTTAACAATATCCTCAAATTCTTCGTATGTTGCAACTTTGTTGGTCACTGCCCGTATTTTAGCTTCATTTCGGACCCAGTACATTTTATCTGCTGAGACTGCCGAATCGATCTGCTGTTCAAGTTTTGAGAAGTTTATTTCTCCATCCTTTTTCACTATTCCATGAGTGTTCTTTCCTTTCCACATACTCTTTCCTAGAACAAAATAAGTTTGAGGTAACATTATCATCTACACTTGATAAACAAGGGTAAGAGTAAGTAAAACAAAGATTTAAAGTAAAATAAAGATTCAGGTTCTATAACAGGGTAATAGGCACGATTGCTTAGTGCCTCTTTGATCCAGTTATATACAAAATATCATCCCATAGCAATAGAACTAATAGAGGTATATTGGTGGTCAAGTGCAGTGGTCCCTTAAGGGGGCATACACCAAAACAGTGGTTTGTGCCATCCAACCCAAATGACCTCATAGGCAGTTCAGTGACCATCTAGCGCACCGTTTCCACATCAAACAAAATTATTTTGAGAATACCCATTTTTCTGGTTAGAGTGGAATTTTCGGAAAAACACAATTTGTTTCGTGGAGAGGCTATAAGTTAATCATTTCTTGCGGTATCGGGTTGAAATTTTGCTCGCCGTCTATTCACATCTATTTCAAGGTGTGTGTAAAATCTTGATATCGTATCTAAAAAGGCTGGTGTGTTATAAATTTGTAAAGTCAAAAAGCTAAAATTGTCCTTTTCAGGCTTATTTTAACAAAAAGTCAGTCAGGGAAGATCGGATTGATTTGATGATTGACATCAGATTGTTCTCTGAATTCTGGCACAGTTTTTGATGCCCTTAAAAATGTTTTTCCTCATTTATCTTCAGATCTATTGGACTTCAAAGCCAAACAACAAATTTAGGCACATTTTTCGTTTTTCATATTAACTGATTTTTCTAAAATTTTGATAGGAATGTGCTAGTGACTTTTGAAGGGCGCAAATTAACGGTAACTAGCACATTTATATATAAGTTATGAACAACAAAACACCCTAAAATGCTTCCCTTTGAAGTATACGAAATGTTGCAGATTTGAGATCTGTGCTAACTTCCAGAGGCGGCTCGTGGGAGCTGGCTGGCAGTTTTGTTGGGGTTCCAATCGATGGACTGGGGGGAGGGGGGCTTGGGAGCCGGCTCAAGCTGATCCCTCCAAACTACCGATTACATTACACACAGGGCCTTGTAAATGTAATGTGTAACACTTTACAGGCGACAGCAAACAAAAACAAAAACTTATAACATGGGTGAAACAGGACACCACACGTGTACGATCTCAGCCGCGCAGTATCACAACAGTCAATAGTTCAAAGGGTCCTGGACCCCCAAATCGAGGCAAATCATAATAGATTACCTGTAGTGGGATGCGCAGGATGTGCTTTGTAACGTTTACAATTAACTATGTGTTAAAACTGCGCGGCTGAGTAGTCCAGAGGTAGGATTGGACTCCCTACAACACAAAATTTCACGAAGATCATGCGTGCACTTACATTAAAACGTATGATAGTAAACGAAGACCTTTATATTGCGATTTGTTATTTCCTAACACCATTACTAATTATTATTTCTATTTTAAGCACCAGCCACCAGATAATAATTTAAAGGCGTCCATGGACGCCTGGACGCCCTCAATAGCCGCCTCTGCTAACTTCTATGCAGTGGCGTAATGAAGGGCCCCGCTGTGCGGGGGGGGGGGGGGGGGGGGGGGGGGGGGGGCAGGGGGCGCCGTCTTAGGGGGGTGCCAAATCGTCGTTTGAATGTGGGATAACAGCGCGTTTTGCTTTAGATACACACTTTTTTAGAGATTTTACTGGCGTATCCTCTAAAAGCACCTAATTTGTTCAATTTTAGGCAGGGGCACCAAAAGGGGAGGGGGCTCCAACAGGGCGGCGCTTTTTTGGCGGGGGCGCCAACAAGCAACGTGACGCCACTGTTTCTATGCATGATCTCCTTGAGTCGACTCAGCCAAATGATCAGGAAATCCGTGACTGACGGTTAATTATGGAGGAAGGCTGCCAAAAGATCGGGAATCTTGTAAAGATATTCTTCAGTAAATATACATTATATATTGTGAACAATAGTACTTCTGCTGCTTAATTTCATGGCTCATCATAACCAGAGTACCAGCACAGACCAGAGTACCAGCACAAAATAAAAAATTATCAGTTATGTAACGACCAAAAATCATGTACCCAGCTTTGGTCTAACCAAAGCCCTTGCCCCTGCAGTGGCGCACGCCATACTTGTGAAACAAGCGCACCCGCAGGGGTGTGAAAGCACATGGTTAGGTGAATACCCAGCTTATCACAATCTTATATTCCAGAAATAGTATAGTACAGCTGATAGTACTATAATTGACAATTCGATAGACTTTTTTATCATATAAAATTATACATTTTAAACTAATAACAACACTACAAGTTTATTAAATTTATTGAAATGTAACAGAAGGAATTACTTAAATGTAGTTCGAGGATCAGTCTTCCTTGCTTACCAAGATGGCGTTTTTTTTTGTCGCATATATAGGGTTTCAAACCATCCCATATCAGTAAATAAATATTTTATGAGTAAATAAAAATTTGAATTTGGTCTCTTGAAACCACAATTTTAAATATAAAGTTTTTCAAGCGTGCTAAATCACTTTACACTCGAACCTCGAGTTTTTTGTAAAAGGGGCCCCCGGATTATATGTATTTTTGAACGCTGATTCCGAATCATACATGACATAGGGTTGTAGCGCGATGCGTAACTGTGCCGCGCCGCGCACTCAATGAGGCTTCTCTCGCTAGATCGGCAAGATGCATAGGGCCTGTCGTGATATCATGGATCGCTTAGGTTCCACCAGGATCTGGTAGTCCTCATAATTCTGCGGCCTCTAAGTGTCGTCATCTCGCACAACTCTTTAAGAATCTTGTGGATTTGGCATGTGAAAATTTGCAGCCTTCCAGACATTGATTGGGTTA